CAAATCATCCTGTGCACACAGAGTTTTAACACTCTTGTTTTCCCTTTCCAGAACATACAGGTGGGATTGGTAAGAATCTCTACAAACTCTGGATGTCTGGATTTCAGCCTCCATGGTTCACAATAAGCAGAGGAGAAAAGAAGGTCTCTTTAAACCTAAACACTCTGCCCTTTGTTTGAGGAAATGGCCACCACCCAGCATTTATATAAAAGGTGTTTCCTGGATTAGGAGCTACATCAGATTTTAAAAACAGTCAGCTAGGGGTAAAACTGTAAAAAAAAAAAAAAATCGGTATCATTTTTATATTTTTTCTCCAGAAACACACCTGACAGAAAAGAATAATTATAACCTGTTCACTAAAGAGGTTATAAGTTTTGAAGGAATGAAACAGAAATGTTAATTAGGAAATAAATGTTTAAAAAAATACTTAGAGGAAAACTCCAGTAAGCATTATATAGAGATATTTTATACTTGTAGACCTCTCCTGTCTTGAAAAAGGAAGGATGAAAAGCATTTTTTGCTTATATTTGACTGTCATAATTTGATATTAACAAAACACAATTAGAAAGTAATCGGCCAATACAAACAGTTTTCATGGGCATTTCGGTCTTCATTGCTTAAAGCTAGCAGGCACGGTTTGCCTCTTGCATGAATCTGATTCGTTGTAACACATTCAGCTCTATCATTGTTGTTTCACTCCTTGGCTGTCTTCCCTATAAATACAGGGGCAGAAATGTTTACTTTGAAATATCTCGTATTAGTATTAGACAGGTAACACCAGATATGGAGGAAAAAATAATCCAAGACTCATTTTTTGAAGGTACTTTATCTAAGATACTACTATTCATAAAATGGATGATACTAACATTTTCTTCTGTCAGTTTCTCCCTGAGGGACTTCCCACTCAGTAACAAACAAAAGTACTTCTAACATTTGAAAAAAACCAGGAAATCATTATAAAACTAAATTAGTTGCCAGGGAAGCCTGACTACTCCAGTTTCTGAAACTAATTTAGATTTTATTATTTTGATCTCATCGATTCTCCTCAGAAACACAAGACCCAGATTAAAACCCATGCAATTTTTTATCTGAGAAACTCCTTTAACTCCAACTATAATTGACAGTGATACACGCAAACCAACTGATTACATGGTCAGTGAAAGGTACATAACTCCTGGTACGGATCATGTACAAGTCTACTTTTTCAAACAGGGAATGGAGAATGGTCATATGACCAAGGCAAAACATAGGCAAGACATGTGATAGGAAGTGACAAAGGAAGTACTAACAAAAGACAAATACTCTGTGGATCTACCTCCAACAAGGTAGAAGTCCAGTTCTACCTCCAGTTGGTATGAAGTCATATCCAAGATCTTAAAGAGGGCCACTATGAGTATGCAGCGTGCTAAGCTAGCTAACTAAAT